CAGGGCAAGCGCTCTACCACTGAGCTACCTTCCCAGCCCCTAACTTCAAATTTCTGTAACACAAAGAAGCTGGGTGTCCTAGAGCTCCTGGTGGTCCTCTTTCCATCCTCCCTTTCCTGGTTCCTGGGATCAACTTGTAAAAGAGGGGGGGGAGGGACAGAAAGGAAGGATTTACATTTTAAGGAGGATCAAGTTCTTCCGTGGCCTGAGATGAAGGACTGACAGGCTAAGTATTAGTGAGTTAGGGCAGGAAGGAGGGAGAGCTTCCCCCTCAGAATGTCTCACGTCCTGGCTAAAGATAGCCCACCCCCTCCTCTTCACATGCACACACACACACACACACACACACACATACACACTTGCATGCAGATCAGACAATCCCACCCCCCAATTAAGAGTCTCTCTTTGAGGACTGGGAAGGTGGCTTGGTAGTAGAGTGCTTGCCTACCATGCATGAGGCCCTGGGTTCAATTCCTCAGTACCACATACACAGAAAAGGCCAGAAGTGGTGCTGTGGCTCAAGTGGTAGAGTGCTAGCCTTGAGCAAAAGAAGCTCAGGGACAGTGCCCAGGCCCTGTCCCTGCAATTTTTTTTTTTTTTTTGTCAGTCGTGGGGCTTGAACTCTGGGCCTGGGTGCTGTCCCTCAGCTCTTCAGCTCAAGGCGAGCGCTCTACCACTTGAGCTACAGCGCCACTTCTGGTTTTCTGGTGGTTTTTTGGAGATAGGAGTCTCACAGTCTCTCCTGCCTGGGCTGGCTTTGAACCGCGATCCTCAGATCTCAGCCTCCTGAGTAGCTAGGATTACAGGCGTGAGCCACCAGCCCCTGGCTTGTGTGCACGTTTAAGTGGGGGTGACACTGGTCCAGGGAATCTGCCAATGCTCCGCCAGGGTCACACTCCCTCCTGGGCCCTCCTGCCCCCACGTCCTGGCACCCACCCATGCTGGCTCCCCTCAAGTCCTGCCAATAGATGTCTCTAGGGACTGCCATTCACCCCAAGAAGGAGCTAGATTCTAGTCCCCACCCTTCCCAGGGACTCAGGTCCAAGCTCTCCTCCACAGCTCTCTTCCTTCTTTGCTCAATTTTGTGGTCAGCCAGCAACCACAGGTGCCACAACTACCACGTCTGTGCCAACACTCAGCGCCTCCCCAGATGAGCTCCTGGCAAGGGGAGCAGGGGATATGGAGGCAAGCAGCGGAAAGCAGCCCGGCCGGGCCTTGCATCTGACTACCCAGCAGCCCACGGCCGGCCAGGTGCCCAGCCATGTACTGGCCAAGGTCTCTAGCGATGGCCCAGGCCTTTGCCCTGGAGCCTGGAGACTCCAACCCCAGCAAGGCCTCACCGCGCCTGGCCCCTTGTCTCTACTGTCAGCCCCTCCCAAGCCTGTGTCACCAAAACGTCCATTGATCCAGGCTTAAAATAACCCCTGGCATCTGCAGTGAGCCCTGCAGGGCGGGTGGCGGAGCCAGCAGCCTCTCTGTGTCTGAAGGGCACCCGCCCCGCCCCCTGCTCCCGCACTGGCAGCGTGAGTGTGCGTGTCTCAGTGGCTCCTGGATGGGAGTGAGGTGCTGTGCATAGGGGCTTAGCAGGCCTGTGAGGGCCTGCCCCGCACCATGCGCATGCGTGTACACACGTGCGTCCCCGTGGCTGGGTCTGCACACGTGTTCTTCCTCCACTGCTCAACTCGGGCCCCAGTGGCCTGGGGTCCTGAGAGGCTGTGCACATTACAGAAAGCCGCTGTTGGGTCAGTCTGGGTGATACGTGGCCAGGCTGCGGCTTGTCTGGCTGTGAGTTGGAAAGCTTAGAACTTCCTAGAGAGAAACCCAAGACCCACAGAGGGGAAATGACGTGCTGAGATTGACACACAGCCAGGAAGAGCCAGGGTCTGGTCTGGAACTTGCAAGGTTTGGGGCTCACTTTAGAGAGCAGCTGGAGAACCCCTCTCCTGCCCTCCCTCCTCCCAGCCCCCAATCCCAGGCGTCGTAGGAGACCCTTGCCTTGCAGTCGCCGTCTTGTCTTGGCACGCCTCCCCAGCCTCTCACACAGAGCTGAGTCCTGTGTATTGTGCGGTACTGGAGCTCGATCTCACGGCCAGCTACCAGTGCTATTCCTGAGCATTTGTGCTCAAGGCTTGAGCCACAGCTCCACTTCTGGCTTTTTTCTTTTCTTTTTTAAAAAATGTTTGGAGGGTGTTAATTGGAGATCGGAGCCTCCCAGGCCTTCCTGCCCGGGCTAGCTCCAAACTGTGATCTTCAGAGCTCGGCCTCCTGAGTAGCTGGGATCACAACGCGATCCACCAGCTCCCAGCTGAGTTTTAGCCTTCATCTTGGAGCCAGACTAACTGTGTTGCCATTTTGGCCCTATTGAAACCCCGTTAACCTTTCTAAGACTGTGTCTTCCGTCTTCCACATGGGCAGCCAGCACCTCTTTGGCAGGGCTGCAGGGAGAAGCCAATGGGGCCAACTGTGAAGTACCCAGGTGGACAGCTGCAGCCACTCAGCCCGAGGCTGTCATTCCTAACCTCCCTTCTTCCATCCTCCTGGAGAGGTTCCCCCCAACAGTAGATTTTGGGGATGCTGGACTCCCCCTAGAGCAAATGCCAGCACCAGGAGGGGGTCCGGAGGGAGGGCCCCCTGCTGCCTTTGTCTCCTGAGAGGCAGCTAGTGACTCAGACTCCAGCTGCGGGTAGGAGGGAGGGGGTGCTTGGGATCCTCAGGGCACAAGGGAGCCAAGAGACCGGAGGGAGGGGGCGGCGGCAGCGGGAGGCTGGGAGCTGAGGCTCAGCCTTCCTCTCACAAACCCAAACACCCCATCTGGGGTCACTGCCTACTGCCTCAAGTCTCACAGGTAATACCTCAACCTGAGCCCCCCATTCCCTCCTTCAGGACCTTCCAGGGCCCATCAGACTGTGGAGAGGGGTTTCTCCACCGGGGCCACCTGGCATGTCTGCTAGGTCAGGGCTGCCCCTCCCTGCCAGCCTGTCTCTTCTAGGATGCAACTCTAAGGTCAGCTCAGAACATAGGGCTGCTGGGGGGCTTCCTATCCCTCCCCCCAAATTTGGCCTTGGTATATATTCAGGGGTGTGGGTGAGGACGCCAATCCCGTGTGGACCCCTAGTCCAGGAGCCAGAAGCAGAGCTGGGAATGTAGCTGGCCTGGCATGGAAAACGTTAAAGCAGTTCACCAGAAAAAGCTGTGGCTCAAGTGGCTCAGGGACAGCACCCAGGCCCTGAGTTCAAAGCCCAGGACCAGCACACAGTCACAGACACAGAGACAGAAACACAGACACACACACACACACACACACAATGGTCGCACTCCATCCAGCCCCTCCCTTACTCCTCTGCCCTTGACCTTGACCCCGCCCCTTCCCTGCAGGCCTACCACCAAGATGTCACCCCAGGACTGATGGCATCTGCCTGCCGGGAGTCGTTGTACAGTCCTGAATCTAGAGCTGGAACCCAGATCCTCTGCAGCTTGGGGGGTGGGAAGGAGTCGGGGATCAGGGCCATGACTCACCCAAGGTCCTTCCTGACTGTCCCTGTGCCCTGGGGCAGTGGGCCCTATCCACCTCTAACCTGCCCGGCCTGCAGCTGACCCAGCACAATTGTGCTGGGCCCAAGCTGAACATGCTGGAATCCTTCCTGTAATCTCCAAGTCAGCAGGGTGGTCCTCAGGAGCCCTGTTTTCCATCAGGGGAGCCAGGCCCAGACAGATGCCAGCAGTTTCTAGGGAAAGAGGTAAGGCTTTCCTCCCTAGCCTTACCAGCTGGGCCTGGGCCCTACCCTGAACCCCTAGCCCTTGACTACCAGGCAGGAAGTGAGAGGAGGAACTGAGACTTCAGGTGGCCCCGCCCCCACCTACTGGCCCCCAGGGACCTGTAGAAACTAGACCCTCTTTCAGGAAAAAAAAAAAAAAAAAAGGCCAGAAACAGGTTAAGGAGAGTGAGGCTGCTTTCCTCTGCCCCTACCTCAACCACTGGCCCTTCCAGAGTCTCTCTTGGATCCCCCTTACTGCAAAACAAGAGCGACTGAGAAAAATCTCTGAGCAGATAACCCTCAAGGAGGGAGAGGCAGGCAAAAAGGCCTGGTGTGGACCAGCCCACCGCTAAGCTTGGTGTGTCTTGGAACAATCCCTTTGCCTCTCTGGGCTTCTCTTTTCTTACTTGCAAAATGGACTGCATGGACTCTGCTCATGGGTGTGAAACGGTCCCGGCTTCCAGGGAAGCAGCTCCAACGGGCCTTTGGTACAACTTTTGAGAACCACAATGCACCAAGGAGAGTCTCTGTGACTCCACTACAACAGCAAAACCTGAAAATAACCCGATGCTCAGGTAGGAAACTGGGAGGTTTTTGAAGTGTTTGAAGATGAGCAACTCAGCATGTGTGATCAGGATGGAAATCCAATATTACAGCAAGACAGTGTTGCTGAACATGGACTACCTCTCCGTAGCCTCCTCCTGGATTAGGGCCTTGCTTGTCTTGATTTCATTCCAATTAAAAAAAAAAAACACATACCACAAAAACTTATTTTTAACCAAAGACAAAACCTACCCAACCTCCCGCCCAGGTGCTGTTACAAAGGGCAAACTTAGAAAGTAACACCTAAGGCCAAGGGAGGAGGCTGATTTCATTGGCTGGGCGTCAGAGCGCTTCCCAACAGGGTGAGGGAGACACCCCTCGGCTTCTTGTCCATCCCCCCACTGGTCTGTCCCATTTCTTCCCCAAAGAACTTCCCTCCTGCTCTTTGTTGAGGATGAGGATCCCAAATGTTTTCCTTATCTGGGGTTTGTGTTCTTCATCTATGAAATGGAGATGCAGCTGAGCCTTCTCTACAATTCCTTCCAGCTCTTCTCCTTTGGGGAGTCACAGGCAGACCAGGGAGAAAACTTTGTATTCAACTCCCCATCCTGAGATCAGAGGGGGAAACCTTGCTGCAGCCAGGGGTTTACAGAGAGGTGCCCCTAAGGTTTGCATGGCGCAGCCCCAGGGGGCTCCACTTACCCTCGTCCCCTTCGGAGTCGAGACCCTGGCTCTCGCTGAGATGGGAGAGAGGAACAGCTCAGACTCCTCACAAGCCAGGGCTGGAGTGGGGGTGGTCAGCTGCGCCCACTGCTGCCCACTGCTTACCAGTGACCTTCCCTAGACACCAGACTGAGAGGATCTGAGATGAGTCCCAACAGGAAATAGGTGATCAGAGATGTGGATGTGAATGTCCAGGTTGTAGGGGCTCCTGATGCCGCTGGCTAGGATAGGGGCGGTGCCCGCCACACACCTCTAGTGGGCAGCTCAGAGAGAGGCAGACTGAAAACCTCTGGTGCCCAGACCAGAACACAGCCAAGGCCCTAGAGAAGGAAAGTATAGAATCCCATCTTTTGACTCCCAATGTTCCTTCCAAAAGGGGCTAAGCAATGACAAGATCCAAGGTGGAGATGAGGTTCAGTCTTGTACACGGGGCGGGGGGCGGCAGCAGCAGCGATGATGGCTACTGGTGAAGATCTTGGCCTCAGCTCCCAGAACACCGCTGCGGGAGGGCAGCTGCCCCGGGCTCAGCGGCCACCTAGGGCGGGCACCTCAGTTCCTCCGGCCCAGCCACAGGCCTGGCCTGGCCTCTCTTTGGAGTCACGTCCTGTAGGTCCCAGGTCCTGTCCTGAGCATGGTCGAGTAGGCTGTGCCCCCAAAGTGGCTGGGCTGCAGGTGGTCTGCCAGGGTGATTTCCCACCCAGTCTGTGATGCTGGATGTAGATCTCCTGTCAAGCTCAGCCTCTGGTTCTAGAAGCTGCTTCCAGGGTGGAACTGGCAGCTCAGGTCCAGATAGATTGGATCAAGTTGACCTAGGGTTGACCTTGGGTATAGCTACTTGAGAATCCAGCACAGATTTTCCTTTCTTGGTTCTTTTCTGAAAAATAATCTTGGAGGGCTGGAAAGGTGGCTCAGTGGTAGAGTGCTTGCCTTGCATGCATGAGGCCCTGGGTTCGATTCCTCAGCACCACATAAGCAAAAACAAAAAAGCTGGAAGTGGCACTGTGGCTCAAGTGGTAGAGCGCTAGCCTCGAGCTGAAGAGCTGAGGGACAGCGCCCAGGCCCAGAGTTCAGGCCCCACGACCGGACCCAAAAAAAAAAATCTTGGAGCCCTCTAACGGGGCTCTTACCCAGCATGTTCAAAGCTCTGGTGTGCAAAGCACCATAAAAATTGTTAATTTAAAAAATTACAGTCGGGCACCGGTGGTTCACGCCTGTAATCCTAGCTACTCAGGAGGCTGAGATCTGAGGATCAAGGTTCAAAGCCAGCCTGGGCAGGAAAGTCTGTGAGACTCTTATCTCCGATAAAGCACTAGAAAACTGGAAGTGGCGCTGTGGCTCAAGTGGTAGAGCGCTAGCCTTGAGCTGAAGAGCTGAGGGACAGCACCCAAGCCCTGAGTTCAAGCCCCACGACTGACAAAAAAAAATTACAAATGATTTTATGCTAAATCCTAATGAGGAACTGTCAGCTGGTTACAGCTGCTACTTGCATCATTTTAAAAGCCGGGCAACTCCGAGAGCAAGTATTAAAGAAATACAAGTTACAAATTAGGCATCCTCCCACCTGCTCTCTCTGATTAATTTTATCTTAATAGTGTATTTCCTCCCTGTAAAAAAAAAAAAAACCTCTTACTCTCAGTATCTGTGTTAGTCTGCTTTGTATTACTATAACAAAATGCCTGAGGCTGGAAAACTTCATAAAGAAAAGAAATTTATTTAGCTCACAGTTCTGGTGGTTTGGCCCACACCTAGAGAGCGCCTTCCTGCTGGCAGCGTTCAGAGGGGGTACAGGACATGGAGCAGCAGGGAATCAGGGTGTGTTCACTGTGTCTTGTTCACTGTAAGTCACCAGAGTTTGGTCTTGATCTTGTCTAATTCTAGTGACCTCCCAAAGGTTCCACCTCTTGAATCTATCCCAACATGGATTAAACATGATGAACATGTCAAATCGTGGGGAACACACTCAAATGATATTCAAAGGATATATCGGCCCATTCAAAAGCACGGGGGCAGCTGGGTGCTGGTGGCTCATGCCCGTAATCCCAGCGACTCAGGAGGCTGCGATCTGAAGACCGCAGTTCCAGTGCAGCCTGCACAAAGGCCAGAAATGCTGGTGTTTGTTGCTGAAGTGGTAAAACACCAGCCTTGAGCAAAAGAGCTGAACAAGAATGCAAGGCCCTGAGTTCAAACCCACTACCATCACACACACACGCAGCATGGGGCTCAAGGGCCATCAAAGCTGGTCACACCAACAACTCGTCACTGGTGGGACCCTGTGGTGTCTAGTCCTTATTCTTCCACAGGGTTCAGCTGACAGATCCAGGCTCCCAGGCCCAGGAGCAGGGCAGAGCCCCCATGGCTACTGTTGCTCGGGGCCGGCTGTCTTGGTGGTCACCAGCTCCGTGGAGCCCAGCTCCGTGGCGGGCACGGGGACGCTGTGGCCTGCGGCGGGGACGTCTGGCTCTTCTCCAGGTGGAGGCCAGGCCGGGGCAGAGGCGGCCTGGCTTTCCTTGGTGGGGATGAGGACGTCGTCCAGGAGCTCTGGGTGGGCAGGGGGGCACGGAGACATGAAGGGTGGAGAACTGGGTCACCGCTTTCCCTGCCCCCTATTCTGGAAGCTTCCTCTGAAGGGCCAGCTGTCAAGAG